ACTGTTTTCATAAAATTTTGAAGATATTAGAGTCAATTTATGGATGGATGACTACACATCTACATTCACATCCATCCATACCGATACAGAATGTTCAATTTATTTTGAAACGATTTCCATGGACTTATTCTTCTTCAGTGACTTATTCAGATTTCATGATTCTCATATTAATCTAACTCACTGAGACTGTACATGTTACCCTAATAATAAATGTTTGTATAGACAAACTTGTTGTGATAAAATGCTGGATAATTTTGAAAAGGTCATTTTACAGATTTTGAGAAAAAAAAACATATCTGCTGATATTATTGAAAATGGACTTTTTTCGATTATTTCTTGGTATTATCATATATTGACCTTACATGTATGTCATAGATACATCCGCTATTAGAGTATCCATGCTAAAGAACTCATCGATAAAGGGCGAGAATTAGAAGATAAATCTGCAAATGTTTTTCATGTATAGTTGAAATGAAATTTATTGTAAGGATTATTTTGTTAAATGTCTAGTTTAATGTAAACTTTGAAATAGCAGTTAACTGTATTTTAGAATTTCTTACATATGAGAATATCTTAGAAGTCTATGGCCTGCATGTAAATTTTTGAATTAAACTAGAGATATAACAAGTCTCACTTCAACTATATATGCGAAAAATTTACAGACTTCTCTACCAATTCTTGCTCTTTATTGATGAAAATTTTAGTATAGATACTCTAATATCGGATGTATGTGTAACATATTTCTGAGACCAGAAGGCGGTAGCATGAAGAAATAATCGAAAAAGTTTATTCTCGAAAAATGTAAAATGACCTTTTCAAAACTATCTAACATTTTATCACAAGACATTTGTCAATACAAAAACTGATTATTTGGTGACATGTATGGTCTCAGTTAGTTTAGATTAATATGATAATCATGAAATCTGAATAAGTCACTAAAGAAGAATAAGTTCATAGAAATCGTTTCAAAATAAACTGAATATCTCCTGCACTGAAAAGTTTATCGAAGATACTACGTATATAGGGTTATAGCCTGTCAACGAGTCTAAAAAATCATATGTGAGAAAAATCATTTCACAAATACTTTCGACTAACATCAAACACTACAATGTTCAATAACATATCATGGTTGGATACAGAGATGCCACCTGTTCTATTTTTATCAGAAAAAATCTGCTGTTTGAAAGTTTTTCTGCTTTTTAAAAACGTCTTTGTTTTTATAATTTATATCGATCATGTTGGATTCTAGTAATTGATTACATTAAAAATGTGAGCAATCTTTCTATCTCTATTTACTAATGTCTCTTCTAACTCTGAGTCTTCGTTCTTAAAACAAAATCTATTTTCTGCTCTTTAAAAAAGGTAATTCTAATATCCATGGTCCGTCCTTAATTCTTCTCTTAACCTAGCTTTTTTTTCCTTCTGAAGTTCGGACTAGGACTGTCAAGATCGTATGTCATGCAACAGTGGGTAGCATTGAAACAATGTACGTACACCTTTTTTCTGGACTAATCAATGCATTAAATTAGTTTTCACAAATAATTCAACTAATTAGTCCAACAATAGCTGAGATATTCAAAATGATAAAATCTCAATTTCCAACATCAGATAGTGCTCTAATCTTTTTAATCACAGCTAAGCATAAGGAATAGTAGTGCTATCCAGGATATTAAGCTTTCTATTATATAAAAGAAGTCATATCTCATCTGCATATCAGTTCATAATTCTGTTTAATATTTCGAACACACAAGGAGATACGCTGAAAAGAATACAAATACCTAGCACTTCTTGACAGAGTATAATTTACTCTGAGACAAAAGGAACAAATTTTAATCGATTCGGTTTTTAAAAAAATTGTTCATAGTTGACTTAAATTTATCTTCGTATAAAAATGGATCAGCTTTTCTTCGTATTTAGAATCAAATGAATTGAACTCTATTAATGACACCATCAATACTGAGATGTTTGTTAAAAAAGAACTAAACATGTGAGGGAATTTTATTCGCATTATCGCTCATCATTATGTCGAAAGACTGAATTCTTTCTTTCTTGTATAATAATAACCTATAATCCTATAATCTAAAGCAGAATTTCAGATACAGTTATGAAAAGTATTTGCAAAAGTTTTTAGAGTTGATTAACTCTTTTTTAAAACTGTGTCATTAGTCGCTTGGTAGACGGAAAAAATCTATAGAAACTTATGTTAAATTATACGAACGCGGCGATTATCGATCGATGGCATACTGAAAGCTATAAATTTAGACGAAAATATACATTGAAAGAAACTTTGTCACTAAATTTTATTTATCTGTTAAATAGTTTTTACTCGAGTTCACATGAGAAAGACTCGATCCTGGCGAGGAACATTCTTTTTGTGACACTGAGAAAATGCTTGAGATAGAGTTGGGCATGAAAAAAATACTTTCTTTTTTTTTGAACATTACAAGGTGTCAACCCTGGTCGGATACCTATATGAATATGACCGTGTACTTGTCTACCAGCAAAGTGGCTCTAATCCCTCCAAAGTTTTATGAAAACTAGATTTACTATATAGCATTCGACGCGCCTGAAAATACTCTACAATATAGTATGATTGATCTTCCATTTCTAAACAGGCTACCTTATCTCATAAGGTCCTTTAAACACAGGATGAGTGTGGGTGTAAATGTGTTTGTTGTGTTCGTACACTCATATCTGTACTCACAACTTTCCTTTTTTTTAAATAGTGAAGTTTTAAGTGCAAAAACAGACATCACAAGTTTAATGATTAAAAAAGTCCTCGAAAAATGAGGATCAAATTATATTAATTTGTGTATATATAATGAAAAAGTTGTTCGTACAATCCCTTGCCGAATTAACGGTACACAATACAATGGAGAATTTGGGTGTAGGATGTCGTTGTTTTTTTTTCGATTCATCGGTACATATACACTATACACTCTGAAATAGCTGAATAAGATTTTGTTTCATTTTCGCTTTTATTGCAATAAATATTAACTAACATTCTTTTAATGAAGTTCTTATACGTTTTCGAATAGTAGATGCAAAAAATAATGAACTATTCGTTGAATATAAACTATCAATGATTAATAAAGGTAATATTGAACACCTTATTGATAATAAAATATTATGTAATAATGCTTACCTTTTAAATATATATCTCACATTAAAGTATTGATAAATAAAATTCGTAATGTTAAATCAAAAAAATGAAGTAAAAATTTGTTGGTACTGAGGAATTTCTTGTTTTACGAAATAAATATAAAAATTCTATGAAAAACATGAACTAATCACGAAGAAAATGTCGAATCAGTTCCTTATGCGTTATTTGTTCTAATAGATTATAATATTGACTAAATCATGTTATTATAATAAATGTTGCAATAGAATATACAATTTCAATAAGTACTTGTATAGTGATGAAGACAACGCATTAGCAGAAACTGATTTTACATAGTTTTACATCACACCGGGGAAGTAATCGATGTTGCTGTACTAACTGCGGTAACTTAATGGATTCTAGAAACTTTATCTTGATCACTGACAGTGAATATTCATTGGAAATATGCTGAATCAAACATAGAATTTGGTTTTTGGTTCTTACGACAATATTGACTCTCACAAGTCATAAATACCTAAGAAAACTATGTCATTTATTGCAATTCAGTTGATACAAACAACAATAGCTTCATAATATTTCAAATGTCAAACAAAAACTCATGCAAAAATTTTCTTGTCATCTGGCATGAAGTATAAAGAAAAGAATTTGACAAAAACTACGACCTTGAAATAAGTATTGCGAATCTGTAAGTGTTATGTCAACTGAAATTCTATACAATGAAAAATACCAACAATATTCTAATGCTAAGCATAATTCGTTCTTTTATTTTTGTCATTTTTTAAAAGAAATTAATGTTGGAATATCCATTGTTGAAGTGATTGTTCTAATTTAATGCCATGTATTGATTTCGTAACATATAGGAATTTGATCATCAAATTTAATCGAACTGTTAATCTTATTCGTATTAAAAAATTGATTGACTACTTCTGTTTGTTGATCAATGAATTAGAAGAAAGAAGACGTTGTCCATAACAAGCAAAATAATGATCACAACTTTCATTTTCAGATACAAATACATTATTATAACCTTCAGATGATATTCATAAACGACGATCTAATTTAATCTCTGCTTTATCTTCGTTACTTGCATGAATATCATTTAATAAATCAACAAATAAATTCACAATAAGATTAATGAATAAATCACTTGATGGATATAGTAATGCATCACTTGTAAAATATTCAAATAAAACATTTTGTGTCAAATAACAATTACCACCAAGTACATGTGAAACAAACAAATGAAATGAAAAGAAGAAACAAAGTACAAAAGAAAATCTCCAAATAACCTGAAAGACGTTTATCATTAATAATCAATAGAAGTGTTTTTATAAATGTTTCTCGAACAATATCAAATGAAAATAGAGGTCCTCAATATTGACGTTTACGTTCCGCTGAAAAACTGAAATAAAATAAATAGAAAAGAAAAATTAAACAATAACTGTTATCATTAGATGAATTATATAAACATGATCGAGCTTTACTAAGTAGATTAAGTATAGAACAAGCATATTCATCACTACTTTCATTATCAACAAAATCAAAATTACATTAAAAATTGTTGGTAAACTCATTGGACTCAACGAGAGAAATTTATTTTTTATTCAAAAACAAAAAATAAATAATTACCCTTTTAAATTGTCAATTAATTCAACAATACGTCAAGTTAAACTTTCATAATTATATTTTTTTATCAATCATTTTAAATAGTAATTTACATGCCTAAAATCCTTTTTTTTTCTTGTCTTCAGAATTCGAATTGAAAAAAAAAGTATTTTTATTGCTTTAATATTAAGTTGTGCATTAAATAAATCCGTAGTTAATAATAAATTCATAATTCACGGTCGAGTATCATTTTTAAGTTAAGACAAATTATTTTCTAATAAAACTGTTTCAATAAAACATAATTTTGTTCAACAAATAGAAAAAGTTTCGATTGAATTTCAACATTTTCAAGACGAATTATTAAACGTGTTAATATACGAGTTAAATCTTCAATACCAATTGTTGATTTATCAGCATTTTTTAGAATATAATTTATGTATTCATTTATCTTAATTATTAATTCATTTGAACTTATGTGACGATGAATATTGTATAACAATTCCAAATAACAATATTGTGTTAGAGAACATTTATTTCTATTAAAAAAACAAAATTATTCAACTAGACTTTTGATACACTTTAAGGAAAGTGTTCTTCCTCGTCCCCCTCCTAAAAAAAGTCAATTTTTATGATTTATAGTCGATTAGATTAAACAACTCGAATTTGATATAATTTATGGGTTGCATAATAAGATTTTAATATATTATATAGACTTTTCTAAACCTGCTGGCATACGTACACTTTACTGACCATTTGTCGTTTTTTTGGATTTCATACTTCCTATAGGGTTCTTAGATGCTGAAAACGATAGTTCAGAGAAAAATACTTGGTGATTGGCCATATATAGCCAATTCCACGACATCAGTATATGCTCCGAGTGCTTGATTTCCCTTAACTTATTGGAAAAGATAATAAAGAGAAAATGGACGAAGAATGAGAAAATTATTTGGCCTGAGCATAAACTAAAAACCTATGTAGATGAAGCTTTTACAAGCTTATCAGGTGCCTTAAGATAGATAGACGCATCCTAATAAATCAATGTCGAATTCATTCACACGGTTTTTTGGCTAACGCTTAGACCAAATAATTTTCTCTTTATTATCTTTTCAAATGAGTTAACGAAAATCAAGCACTTTGAACATATACTGATGTCCTAGAATCGGCTATATATGACCAATCACCACGTATTTTCTCCTGTTATATCATTTTCAACACTTAAAAATCCTATAGGAAATATAAAACTCAAAAAAAAATGGGAAGTAGCCAGTAAAGTGTACTTATACCAACCTCCTCCTATACAAGAAAACAAGATTTTTGTAATTAAAAATTTTTGATTTTTTCGTTTTCATACATCCTAAAGTTTTACATTATTTAAAACACTAAAAAGTTCGAAAATTGAAAAATCAAGTTCTGTACAATTATACCGCCACACCTTAGTTATATTTTAAAACAAACTCGAACCTTCTAGTATTTGAAATGGTAGAAAAATTTTTTTTCTCGAAATTAATTTTTTAATTAATGAGCAAATTTACGAACAAATTGTGTTCATCAATAAATACATAGAGAATTCTTTAAATGAGAGAAAATTTCTAAATAATCGTCAACTCCTCCTTAATCCAAAATAAAAACTTGATAAGAATAACTTATCAGTGTCTCAGTCAATCTTTTTTTTTAATAAAAATCGAAATAAGATACTAACTGATAAATACACCATTGAAGTGATGAAAGTATTTCTTCTAAATGAAATGATAAATCAAACGTAAATTGAAGATGATTCTTTTTTATTGATTGAAATATAGCATTTATCTTAATAAAAATAAATATGAATTTTATTTATGAAATATTTTTAAAATAAAATATACTTGTAATAAACGACCATGAAGTGTATTTTGTCTAATATTATTTTTTGATTGTTTCATTAATTGATTTATTTGTTGATGAATTATAGTTGAATATTGATCATGATGTATTAAAACTAATAAAGCTTTTGATGAATGTTCTCGTATATGTAATAATGGAGATTCTTCACATCTATAATTATTTTAAATTAATATCGATCTATAAAAACTAAAGAAAATAAATAACTTGATAACAAATGGTAAAAGTTTATCTAATGTTAATGAACAATCAATTCCATCAAGTGGACTTGGATAAAGATGATGAAGAATTAAAAGTATAGCAAATAAACATGATGATGATAATGATTCAATTAATGAACGAGTACTTAACAAATATAGAAAATAATTATATTTTATATTTATTCATATATTAAAAATAAATAAACCTTGTTATTTGTTGTAATTGTTGATAAAATAAATGAAATAATGATGGATATTTATTAAAAAATTCTCTTGAATTCATACTATTTTTTTTTTCGATAAATTTTCTTCATCGTCTTTTGTTTTTGATAGACTAAATATTCGTTGAACTATTGTTGATAATAATAATGTTACACTATTTCTTATCATCCATATTGATGATGTAAAATCAGTTATTGATAAATGCAGACCACGCTCAATATATGGATAAACATCATTTGAAAAACGTTAATTACGAATAAAATGAACAAACTGTATTGTATGCATGAATCTATATTTAATTATAATGAATATTATTTATTTATTTTCTTTTCATTCTAATTACTTTTCCAGTTTTACATTGATGTTTAATTCTCATACGAAAAAATTACAACTAATATTATATCGAATATATCGTAATAGCTAGGTTTGCAGAATCTGCCGTAGCTTCTTTGTAGCACACACAAACAAAAAATTTCTTCAATTTTTAGAAACCTACGAGTTAGAATATCCTTTTAGAAAGAAAAACGTATGCTAAAGAAAATAATTTTGTTCAATGAATAAGATGAAACTACAAAAGATTAGTATTGTTTTTCTTCATTTTATTCAATCGTAAAGGTAATCCGATGGTGATGGTAACTTGACTGCTTCTTGCCATCTCAATCGACTGATGACTAATGACTCGGATCTTATTAACTTCCATGGTTGATACTAGATGTGCAGAATCTACCCGTGAGCTCGGAAATTTTTGAAACATTATTAACTGCAGTAAAATTTTTAGGAAATAGAAGTGCAGAATCGACCCGTAGGCGCGTACCATAGTTTGAGGAAATTTCTTATTTTTTTGGAAATGTGCGCTACTACTGCCTCTGAGAATTCCGTTTTTCTCAGCAGAACCGCTGCAATCTACTGGTAGATTTTTCACCTTTTTCTCTTATCAGAAATAGTTTATACAAAAATTCAATATTTTTATCTAAGATTTTGATTAGCTAGAGGATTCGATAAATATTCATCTGAACGAAATAGTTAAGATCAATTAACTTTGATACAACAAATTTTGACTGCAAAAATAGAATGACACAAAAGTTATGCAATTGAGAAAAAAGAATCAAATATCTCTGTTACAGTTCGACCAAAGAGACGTTATTTTTTTTTATCAAGAATAGACACATATTTACACTCTAAATCCATACGAACAAGATTAGCAACACTTTTCGTTAAGTACATTGTTTCTTTTTCTTAAATGTGAATAAAATGAAATTTTCTTGTTGAAATCATTAGTGATACTTAACAAAAGTTTTTACTATTCTTGTTGATATAAATTTTGAGTGTAAATATGCGACTATCCTTAGTAAAAAATTTGAACCTTTTTTGGTCAAATTTTTATGTTTTACTAGAAAAAGAGGTTTTTTTTTTAAATAACTTTCTGATTATACACTGTGACACAATTTGTTTATTAAGAAAAAATGTTCACATCTATTGATAATTCTTATAAGAAATTCATTTTTGACATTACCGAAAAAGATCAATTCATAAATGAGAAAAAGAAAAATCGTTCTATATATATATATTTATTATTAATAGAACTAATACTAAGCTTTTGAATGGCGCATCAAACCTGATAACATTCATTTTCTCTACTAGAATATTTACTCAACTATGTTTTACTTCTACATGTCATTTTTTTTTACGACTATTCTCTATTTTAATAAATAGCGAATGATACATTTTTAAAGATTTCTAAACTATTGAAACATGATCGATTATAATAAAAATTAAAAGAAATTTTCAAATATAATAGGTACTATTCGAAATTAATTGACTATATTATATTATTCATCTATTTCCTTCATAAATATGTTTTATAAAAATAAACTATAACATTAATAAAAAAAAAAAAATTTCATTTGATAAATACTCTTCGACTATTTTCTAAAATTTATCCATCAATTTGTATTGTATCTGAATCATTTTGAATAATATTTAATAAAGTTTCCATTAATTTATCAACATATATTCTTTGTTGTCCACGTTGTTTAATTGGTTCATCAGTTAATATTGATTGAAGATAAAAAGGTAAACCACCTGATCTTCGTGTTAAACATAATTTATTTTTATCAAGTATATTTTCTTCAACCATTTTTATTCTATTTTCAATCCATTCTATTGGGAAACTACATAATTCATTACAATTTGAACTAAAATATGATTAAATTTTCATTTAAATATATAAATAAATAAATAAAAATCTTAATAAACCTCCACAGTTGTTCGCAAATAATAAGAAAATCTGTATAAGCTAATTCATATGCACCACAATGACGAGATTTTAATAATTGTTCCATGTAATAATCACATATAATATGTATTTTTTTTACAGATATTAATAAAATAACAAACTTATTTTAAACTAATAAATCAATATTGATTTTCATTTAGAATATATTTTATTCTAATTTGTCCCAAACGACTAAATAATAATGAAATTTCTTTACTTGTTCTCCAACAACATACTAATAACATTTGAGATGTTATTTGTCCATTTGAATTTTCATTATTATCTTTTATACCAACTATATAAAGAAAAATTAAAAATATAAATTATATTTAATAAAACAAAACAAAATAAACTTTTAGTAAGTTCCATTCGCATCATTCCTTCAGGCGATGATGAACTAACAATTAGACTAGTTAATGAAGCTATTTCTAAATATAAATTAATTAAATGATCAAATATTATTTTCCATCGATTTATTTCTTGTTCATTTTCATATCTAATTTTTTTAAAAATTATTATTAAGATAATAAGATTTTAGTTAAATTTCAATATTTACTTATTATCATGAATAATAGTTAAAAGTGCATTAATACCACTTAAACAACCATACATAGGTCCATTTTTTGCAGCTTGAAATAAATTAATTTTTGCTTGTTCAACTTCATTATCTAATCTTTTAGTTATATGATTAATTAATAAATAAATTTGATCATATGATTGTTGATTATCATAATTAATTATTTGTTGAAGGTTTTTATTATTTATTTGAACAACATATTGAACAAGACTTGAACCACTTGGTGTTTCAGGTGGTTGTGTACTTGATAATAATTTTAATATTCGATCAAATAATGTTCGAATACGAAGGTCATCATAGTTGCTAGCGACCTATTTTTCAATAAAAAAAATTACGAGTAAAAGAACGAAAAAAAAACATTTTCTTTATCAGTATATTTAATATGTTTTTTTGGTTTTCATTTTATATTACTTTAAACATTTTTGATAAGAAAAATAAATTTCTTCCGAATGTTCAAATAAAGATTGGATTATTGAATTAAATATTCGTCCAAATTCAATGTCTCCTATTGATCCACCATTATATGAAGAAAATGAAAATGATTCTCGTCTTTTATTATCAATATATGCAATGACATTAGGAGAATATTTTTCATCACATAATATTGATCCTTATATTTTTGAACATATACAAATAGAAAAAAGAATGTTCAAAACAAAATGATTTAACTTTAGTTTGGTCTGATGATGTTTCATTAGCATTATGTTTTTTAGCAAGTTTAGCTCATCATGGAGATTATTCTCAAGAACATTTATTACAAAGATATTTTCAATGGTGGATGAATGGGCAAATATTATTAACAAATTTTTACTAGTATTTATTTAATTATACAAATAAATAAATGAACAATTTTAGTTATATGTGTCCAACTGGTCTTTGTTTTACTCTACATAGTGATATAAAAAAAAATCAATTGATATATTTGGTGAAACTCAAGCGTCTCAAGTATTAGGTATTGAAGTTGATTTAGAAAAAAAAACATCTAGTCTATTACAAAAACCTTCAGCATTAATTCATTTATCTCCAATTATTTATTTTTATGCCAAACATTCATAGTTAAAACGTCTTAAAGTTTTAAATGATTGTATTAAAAGAATGTTTGGAAAAAATACATCAATTGATGTTTTTATTGTTTATATTGAATTACTTGTTAATGCTCTTAATGGTCATTCAAAAAACAAGATATCATTAAATTAATTCAATTAAAACAAAATTCAAATGATTATTTAAATAAAATATTTTTTCATTTACTTGATTTAATTTCAAATGATAATAATAATATTGAACAAGGTATTCAACTTGCTTTAAAAAACTAAATTTATTCAACAAAAAGAATGTAAATATCTTAATCCTTACGATACAGATTCAACTATTCTTTTAACAATTTATTTCGAATCATTCATTAAGGAAATTCACATATTTTTCCTTTTACTAAACAACATATAAAAATGGCAAACTAAATAAATGTTAATCAGTTAAATTTGAATAATTTATATACGGGAGTGATCAATTTGACTGATACAGCTCTATTGTAAGGATAAAAATTATTATTGATCGGGCCACAAAAGAGAGGATCTTACATAACCCTAGATTGATCCGAACAACACCACGTTTTATCCTTACAACAGTAGAGAATAACTTATAGCCACCATCGTGTGAGCCGGTAGCTTTTCTCTATTATTGTAAGGATACTTACAATAGAGCTGTATCAAAACGGGACATCAGTCAACTTGATCATCCCAATATATAATATTCAGGGTGTGTCTGTCTGTGCAGAGGTCACCCGTGAATCGTCATATAAGGCTATAAAGAGAAGCCGCCAAGATTTATTATGTGGAAATAATCATTGGTCCTTGTTGGCTATCCTACAAAGGTATCCATAGTTCCTCTTGTGCTACCCTATAGAGGTACTTATGGGTAGTCCTATAGGATAGCCATAGACTTTGAACGTATCTGTATATCTATTGTTGGATGAAAAGTTCAACTACTGGAATCAATCGTTGAAGAAGAAACCAGTTGTGCAGAATGCACGAATTCTCGCTGGTTCCTAATATTTATATGATTGAATGTGATGTCATATTTTTTGTAAAAAATTGATATTAGATTTTCGATTTTTATATACAGTGACGGTCGAAATTATTCATACAGCTGAAAAATTTTTGCAAGCGTTTTATTTTCACAAGGGTTAAGTCTTTTGAGCTGTAGTTTTCGTCATAATGTAGAATAGTAGAAAGTCTTAGTTTGATCCAACATAAAATGATTGCTTTAGATAATAAACTAAAAAAATCATGTATTTCAGTTTAGCTCAAAATTATTCATACAGTTCATATAAATAAAACATGAAAATACAGAACTTGTAAATTTTGATTTCACCTGGTAAAAAATGTATTGCAGGAAGTATTATGTGTTTTGTGGTTAAAAATGGTTTTCGACCCTAAAAATCACGATACTGATAAATGCAGACTTATTAGAATTGTCATAATTATATGAACTGTATGAATAATTTTGGGCTAAACTGAAACGCATCATTTGTTTTTGGTTTGTTTTGTAAAACAATTATTTTATGTCCGAGCAAGCGAAGACTTTCTACTATTCTACATTATAACGAAAATCACAGCACAAAAGACTTAACCTTGGTGGAGATATAACGCGTACAAAATTTTCTTCAGCTCTTTGAATAATTTCGGCTGCCATTGTATATAATATATTCTACTCATACAAATCAAATATAATTAATAAAGACAAAACTTTAAAATAGATTGGTTAGATTTGTTTCATCCGTACGAAATTTCTAGTTTTTGAAAATTTGTTTAACTTAGTTTTATTAAATAAATAAAATAACTTTATTTTGAAATTTTTCTTTTTCTAAGCAATTAAACTGTAAAAATCTTAGCAAGAAAAAGAAGATTTTTATTTGGATATCCTTAATTAATAAATCTTTTACAAATAAGTAGAGCTCTATATAATTCAATTCCTAATGATTGGTATAAACAAATATATGCAAGAAAAACAATTGAATCTTTAACTAAATGGATTATTTATGAAAGAAATAAAAACTTACATTTAATTTAATAATAATATCAAGAGAATATTGACGTATATCTTCATATGTATCCCATAAACAATTAAATAAATATTCTTTTGAATTTTCATCAATTAATTCAATAAATAAGTAGAGTTTTAATTTTTCTTTTTAGTTATAGAAAGAAGAAGAAAATTATTTCATTTATATTTAAATATAATAAAGAATAAACTTACGACAAATAAAAATCAATTTTTTTTTCTTAAAATAAAAGAGAAAAAAAGATTTGAAAACAAACTCTATATCGTTCTGTTAAATCATTAAACTCTTGATCAATATTTTTTTAATTTTTGTCTTGCACAAAATAACCATCTATCTTTTATTCGAATGAAATGCTAAAAAAAAAGATATCAATAAAAATTATTCAATAATTATGTTTATCAAAACTTTTAACTCTTTTTAAAACATATTAATTCTTGTTTTTATTTACAAAAAATATTTGCTAATTAAGAGTAATCTCCAGTCTTTTTTGACCAAAAACTCGATATTGAGATGAGTCTAAAACATGATAGTCTGAAGTGTATTATCCGACTCTAAATAGTTTACTTTTACAGAGTTATTGGATGAAGAATTTTTTTATAATAATCGTATTAAAAACTTTTCTTTTCACTTAGAATTACGTAAAACACCAATTTCTTAAATTTTGATTGCTTATGATTTCACCTGAATTTTTGTCCGATTAGGGTGACATTTTTACTACTAATACTTGGAAGTATTATCGAGTGTCTTCATTTTGGACATTCCTACCGCGAGTTACAGGGTCGTGAAAATCAAGATCTTGTACAAAAATTATTTCGCTTTTAAAAAAAGACGAGTGACATTCTCACCTCTGAGTAGAGATTTGCATGAATAAATTTGTCGTGACCGAAGAGAACAAAGAATGTTCAACATCGTTTTCATAATGGATGTGAAAAAGATGATTCCACTTGATTTTTTTGTGTTCAGAAATTTAAGCTCTTCAAAATAATACTAAAAGGTCAAGGATATAATGATTTATGATGAACAGAATTGTGACATATTCATCGTGACCAAATTATTCTTTTCATATCCACCATAAAAACGATAATCGAATAATCTTTTTTTTTTCTTTGGTCACGACGAACTGGTGGTCATGCATGTCTCTATCTCTGAGAAAGTCTTATATATATCTGAAAAAAAATTAAGCCCAATCGAACAAATTTTGAGGGAACTCATAAAGTATCAGGATGAAGACCTCTGAAAAATCTGAATTTTTCAGGAAATCTCATAAAAATTTACTTGAAATTTTTTTGTCATCGAACATATAACTCTTTATTTTGGATACTCTATCTGTACTGTAAATTTCAATCTGAACCTTTGTACCATCTTTGACAACTATAGGGTGTCCAGTAAGTCCTTAGCCAAAGAAAAATTTGAATATTTTCATTACAGTTCGGCCAACTAGGCTCATTTTTTTACCAAGGATAGAGGCATGGTCACAATCCAAATTCCTACGGGCAAGGCTAGTGAGAACTTTTGTTAAGTATCACTATTGACTTCAACAAGAAACTTTTACTTTTTCAGAGATAAAAAAAAAACAATTGACAGGATAGTGCAAAAGGTACTTTATCGAAGAAGAAAATCGAATATCTGCGTTATGACTCGAGCAAACCAACTGATTTTTTTACCAAAGATAGAGACATGTTCACACTCTAAACCCATATGGACAAGGTTAACCAGAAGCTTTGTTAATTATATTGTTTTCTTTTTACTTAACAAAAGTTCTCACTAGCCTTGCCCATAGGAATTTAGATCGTGACCATGTCTCTATCTTGGTAAAAAAATGAGCCTAGTTGGCCGAACCGTAATGAAAATATTCAAATTTTTCTTTGGCTAAGGACTTACTGGACACCCTATATATTTTCATGAACATTTGTTGTGTAGAAAAATTTGAAAAGAAATATATTCTTTTCAGAAAAATTCGATTGCACTATACTTCTGTAGTCATGGTGGACATGGATATCTACTATAAACCTATTTTTCTCAAAGATCGAAGAAACGTTGAGAATAAAATTCGATATCCTTCATTTAATCTTTAGCAAAGTATCGTTTGTTTTAATAAAAAATTTCAATTTTATCATTAATACAAAGTTTTTCTATTTAAAATAAATATTTCATTGATGTCAAAATTAAATTTTGAACTTTATTATATAAAATATTCATAAACTAAATGTACATCGAATAAATTATCTTCATTTATTGAATCTATTTTTCTTTGATGGTATTCTTTCACTACTACATATTATTTGTGAATTTATTCATCTTGAAAAATTAATTCTCAATAACATCGATGTAAAATTTCTTCCTAACATTTTCAAGTATTTTATTTTCTTATCGAAATTACAATTCTGAATTCTTACTTCAATTGATTATGTTTCAAATCCAAGTATTCTTTTTGGTTCAATATTCCATGTACCTATATAAAAATCTTGTTAATTAATTTCATCGAACAAAATATGATAAACAAACAACTACTATTTATTTGAATGAATTTAAATCTAATCCTATTGAATATTTTGTGATAAATAACTGTTTTGTAATCGATTTTCTTGTTAGATCTCCTTGTACACATATTAGTCAACTTGCTGTTGTATTAAAAAATTTAAAACATCTTTCTATTAAACTTGATGTTATACATTTTAATCTATTTGAACAATTAATTAAATATTTCTTTGTTCACACTTGAAGTTTTAAGCCTTGCAACAGTAATCGATCCAACATATTTAGATGCAAAACGCCAGAAAAAATTAATTTTATCTTCAATGTCGAACATACGTATTTGTCGATATAAATCAGAATGCTTTTGCATCAAATTCTTATGACTTAATTCTTCATTTTTGAGTTTAACGATAATGATTTTTTTACACATAAAATAACTGTCACGAAACATTAGATAATCTAATAGTTTATCTAACAAAACTATGCAGAAGAAAATATTAAAGATTTTGTTAACAATTAGATCCAGAAATTTGTCCACATCAGATCCGTAGGATGTGCCATATTTTCTCGGGGGCACTTGAGACAAACTAAAAAAAAATTGTCGGCATTTTGAATACACATGAATAGAGATATTTCTAGATTTCATTGAAAATTTCAATTTTCTCGACAGCATTACTGAAGCCTACGAGTATATTCTGCATACTTGGTTCACGTATTCCAGAAAATGATTTCAACTCAGTTAAACATGTTCATATTGTTATTAAACAAATAATAATGGAAATTATTTTCCAAATGTTACTTAATTAGTTATCGAACATTATTTAAGAACACCTGATTATTTAATATCAACAACTCTTAATCGTATTCTTTCTTTAAAACAACTTTAGAAATTAATTAATTATTCAAAGTTCAAATATTCCTTTGAACAAATTATTAAACCAATATATTTTACACATAATTTATATCTAACTTATTAAAATTAGATTTAATGTATTTTTTATGGTACTAATATAAATTAATTCAATAAAGTGAAATTTTCAAAATGTTTCAGAAATAAATAAAATTAAAATTTTGTATCTTCGTGAATCGGATATATTAAAAGATTTCAAATTGGTTATTAATTTATTTCAACAAGTTGAATATCTTAAAATTGAAGTGAAAACAATAGAAATTCATCGGCTTATACAATTTTTATTTTAAAAAAATCATAGAACACCTCATTCACTTTTTCTGTGCATTTCAAAAATATCTAAAGTATGTTTACAAGAGTTAAATACTTTAATTAAATTTCAAGATTTATTTTATGTTTATTTTATCAAATACCTGCATCGTGATTTATATTTATGGTGATAGTTATGATTGCTTTAAAAATATGGAACGATAACAATCCTCATCTTTAATCATATGTTTCCAGCTACTACCTGGTAGCTAAATGTTCCTTATGATGCTATCTGACTCAGGAAATTATTGAATTAAGAAAGATAAAGCAATATAACCTGTCTTGTAGAGTAAAACTAGCCTACTATTACAAACGATCGCTTATTTCATTTATAGGCTATAGTCTTAAAATGATCACGTATTCTTCATGTATTATCAATTGATATTAAATATGATTGGAAAGTTTCTGAGACAACTTGTTTAATGTACTTCTTAATGCTGAAAAATAAATCAAAATTGTATTCCTAATTTGAAGAAAATCCAGTGCTAAAATATGCATTAAGAGTAGAAAAAAAAATTAAAAATGTGAGAAAATGATTATTTACACACTGATAGAATATTTTGTATGGCTTAAACAGGAGTTTATTGCTACTTTGATCTCAAAACTTCTATACTCGTTGGGTAGCCATTGACTTGCTCTATTCAAATTCGTAAAGAAATTTTGGGTCCGAATATAATTCGCTGAGAAATGCATCTTGAACTGAAAACCAGCAAGAGCAAAAAGCATGAAAAATTTAATAGTAGCGCTAACCTTATTTAGAATCTGAAACACCATTTATAATTAAGATTGAAAAGAAGACTATATATGCAATATTGTAGAGCACGCGTTGCTCTATCAAACGAGATATCAGTTGAAAATATTCTGATAACTTGGTATGAAGAAAATGATCAAATACTGACCAACTGAATTTATCATGAAAAAAATTTTGTTTTCAAACATCGCTCGAGGATACTTCTAGTACTTACTTCATAACTTTTTAAGGGTAAGCTAGAACAAGCTAAAAAGATTTGAGTTTGGGAATTTCTAACTATGCTCTATCGTTTGCAATGAAAAAATATAGGGGTCAAAATTTTCGAGAGTATGACTATGATTGATGGTTTCATGAACTGTCTCTTAAGATTTTTTCGTCGATATGCTTTGTTGGTCTATATACAAATAAAAATAAAACAAAATCGGTCAAAAATGATTAGACGTATAGTCCTTAACTGATTTGTCTTCTTTTAAATATTCTCTTCTAAATCATCATAATTGTCTGTTTCCTTTCTGAATGCATTCCTTTTCGAAAAGAATATACAGTTATTTGCCGTTTCGTCAGTATTAACACGTGTGATCGTAGAGTGATAGCTGTTATCATTTTCTATCTAGTCATAAGTCATCAACTATGCCCATATTTTTATGGAGTTTATTCGATATATGTGTTAAGCACTGTTTGTTTATTTTTTATTTTGAGATGAAGAATCGATAGAACGAAAAGAGTTTGCACGCCGCATCCAGCTATTGCATACTATTATATAAGAGAGAAATACAAGATTAAATGAATCATCTTTTTCTTACATTTAATGGCTAAAAAAATTTCTATTACTACTATTATAGAGATAAACTTGAAATAACGTTCATTTAGATGGGGGACTGGTTAACTAATCAACAAAAAAAAGATTTAGCTCGTCGTAATTTTCGTCGTATTGCGATACAACGAAGTGATCATCGAATTCCATGGGATGATTGTGGTATATACAGAACATTATAATATATAAATAGTATTAATCCTCTTTTTATTTAGAAAAAATTGTTAAAAATATTTTTTTACATGTATCTGCTGCTCGACTTAATGGTTTGATGTCGGATGCCGATGAAGATGGTAAAGTTATTTATATTAGCTTTAGTATGTAATCCAATAAACATACTTTAGGTACTTGTCTCATACGTCTTGGTCCATTTATGAAAATGATTAAATATTTACTAGATGAACAAGTTGATGGTATTGATGAAGATGAAGATGAAGATTTTGAAAGTGAACATTCTGTAGATGAAGGTACTCGATATGAACATCCTGCACATGAACAACCTGAACGAATATTGCTTGTAAGTTTCATTTAAAACTTTTATCACTAAGATCACTCTAAAAAAATTAAGACTCGTGTAGTGCATATATAAGACAGTTCATGTATTTTTGTAAGACACTTCGAATGATTTCTGATTGGATGATAGAATACTAGTTTAGACACATGAAGTGTCAACGGATGACAGATTTTAGATAGTCGAGGGTTAAGATAAGCTACACACACTTGCATATGAATGTGACTGGTCATTTTTCTAATTTTTCTTTCACTTGACCTCGACCGTCGTTTATGAAGAAAAAAAAGAGGAAAAAATAAAAGAAAAAAAAGAGGAAAAAATAAAAGAAAAAAAAGAGGAAAAAATAAAAGCCAAAAAAGAGGAAAAAAAGAAAAAAATATCGTCCATTTTGGTTCGTGCCTATATATACGAGTTGTAGATGTGCGTTCATTATACATCTTGACAACAAAATGGCCGAAAAATTAAACGTAATGATATTTTTTTAATTTTAAGAAATCTATTTTGATCCGTACACTTACGAAATAGTTAACATCCACTGATATTTTTTTTCTAGGATGAAGTGGAACAACAGCAAAATTTATTAGACTTCGCAATGCAAATTAAACAACTGGTTGAAGCAGAACAACCAGACGATGCTGTTCCAAAAACAAAAATTAAAGAACTTTTTAAAGAGTATAAAATTTTTGATTAAACTATTGTTTGTTTTTTTTGTTATTTCTCTATAAAGAACGATCAAATAAATTTAAAGGTGGTAAACATGTTTTATTCTATATCATGAAGAACGAATCATATTAGTTTTTATTTTTTTGTGGACCTTATGATGATACAATAAAATAAATAAAACAAAAATTATATTAGTTTTCTTTTTTGTAATGTCAAACAGGAATATCGAAACATTAGCGCAACATATGTAGACAAAGAGAAAAAATGGAGTAATAATAGAATTGTGATCCCATCGGTATCACTCAATTTCTTATTTATTATAGAATAAAATTCTTCAGATTTTTTTTTGATCTTCATCATATATTGAACAACGGTTTTTTTGTCGGTATTAATATTGGTTCGTTTTGTGGAAATTTCGCATAAAAATTTGAAATATCATTGTCACACTCTATAGTATAAATAACAAAGATTAAACATTAAAAATATATCTTTCCTTTAAAAGAAAAGAAAATGCAGATCATGATAGTTGTTGATTTGCACAAACAATTGAATTTTGAATTTCACATTTTGATCCAATTGTTGAACGAGAACATAATATTGAATTTTGAATAGTTGCTTTTAAATAATTAAATTAATAAAAATAATTATTTATTATTATTTTATAATACTCTTCTTTAATAATAACATTATCCAATAAAACACAATTTATTATTTTACATTTATCTTCAATTCAACAATTTTTTCCAATAATAGTTCTTTTAACAGTTGTTTTTTTTCCAATATCATGTCCATCAGCAACAACACAACCAGGACTAATCTATAATTTAAAAAAAAAACATATTTAATATATATTTTCAAATAAAACGTTACTTGAACTTGCTCAAATCGATCTTTAAATGCAATATCTTCATTTGTATATGATGAAATGAGTGATGCGGCCTTTAAAATACAAAAAAACTAAATAATAATAATGATAATAATAATAATAAAATAAATAACTTGTCTATTAGCTTCAAGATATGAAAGAGCATGTTTAACACGAAAAATTGATGTTTCATCAATAAAATAATAACGTCCTCCTCTTATTTGTTTATTATCACAATCATATTGTTCTAATATTTTTGACAAATCCGAATGATCATCTAAGTTAATTTAAAATATTTAAAATATAAATCAAATTTAAATTAATAGTAAAAGAAACCTTGTTGTCTAATAACTATAGATATATTAGGAGCTTTTGAAATAAGATCTTCAATTGATTGACCTTTTACCATTTGTCGAATCATTTTTGGTAAAAATTCTTTACGAAATGATGAATAACTTGAACGAATAGCTATATCCAAACATGATTTTTTAATTAAATATAAATGAGCATCAATTAAATCTGTCCGAATTATTGTACGAGGATATCTTTATTAATAAAAAAAAATACATTTTTGTTTTTATAAAATAAACAATATATAATAATTATTTTACTTAGCAAGAATATCTTGTCTTAATGGAAAATATTCATCTAAATCAGCTNGACATATTTACATTTTACAGCCGTCTGTATGTCTTTAGCTTTCGTCTTTTTTCAAATATATCTAAAACTGTTTTTGAGCCTAGTCACATATGGTTTTGTAGATAATTTTAAGCGCTATCTTTTGATAATTAAGACAGCTTTACTTACAGTGATAATAGACAGGAAATCTTAAAAATACTGGGAGGCTCATTATTCCTGGGACACCCGATATTATAAATGGTATAACAAAGTGAAAATGTGTTATAAATGAATTATAATTATTTCACAACACGCCAAGTATGTTCTTCTTTTATATCATCATATAGATGTAAATATAACATATGAGGAATTAAAAGAATAATATTTATAATAATAGCACATAGAATCATCCATTTAGCTGTTTTTCGATTTTTTCTTTTATCAAAATGAATACCTTTAAAAGGAGAAAAAGCTCGTTTACCAGCAAAACAACAATTTAACCAATTATCAATATATAATAAAAGCTTAAGTAAAAGTTCGATTATCATACAATTCGAAAACAGTATTAGTCGTTTACCAATTAAATCTCTATAAGAATAAATAAGAAACCAAAATTTTAATGAAAATAATAGAATAACACTTAGTGATGGTATTGATGACGCTATAAGATATATTTCGGAATCAACTTCTTGTGAAGTTTTTCTTTTAAAAGTTAAAATCGAAAGAAAACCATTGATAATACCAACAAAAAACATAATCATTGTAATAAAAGCACTTAATTTAACTGAAAATGGTTGTTTAGATAAATAAAATATTTGATTTTATTTCATAACCTAAACCTTTAGCATAAAATTGATATTTACTACCAAAAAAAACAAACAAACAATCAGTACAAACACATATTATTGCAGATGGTCAAGTTGAACGATCTTGTAAACTTTTTGCACCATTTGAACGATGATGTTTAACTAGACATTGAAAATATTTTTTTATAATTAAATTGAAGAAAATTTCCATGACGTTCTTTTGTACATAAACATAGATATAAGATTGATCAATCAAACAATGTAATTTATGATAATTTTGACATTATATATGAAGATGTTTAATTCGTTGGAATTGAGACATTTTTCATTAATGTTGACTTAAAGAATATTTCAATCTAAATGCATTCTCGAGATGAATTTATTTTAATAGCAGCAAGATAATATTTACTATTTAATTTAATAATTATTATGTTATATGGAATCGATATACGAAAAGTAACTATACATTGAAATAATGTTAATTTTTGTAACATTATTGCCAATTTTAGTTCAGATTCATTTGATATTGTTAGAAAAAAAGCTAAGACAAATGATGGAATATTTAAATGTTCAATATATGTATATCAATTTTAGCCTTACGATATTGACATATTGATCCATAATAATAATCAGAACAAATACAAGAATAATGATTATTCGATATCGTTATATCAGCTGGAGTATGCTTTCCATTATTTAGACAAGCATTTTTTGGACATATAAATTTAAGAATAAATCAAGGGCCATATTTCATTAAAGTACATATACATATTGAACAATTATTTATTGATCCAATACATAAAGAATCAGATGAGCGTGTTTGACAATTTAATTTGATATGACATTGAATACCTGTTCATCCTGAATAACATCGACAGAATGTTTCTTCTTTATTTATATATTTAATACATTCACTATTTATAGATTTAATGAAACAATTGGATAAAATGGGAACTGGTTCATAGAGTATATATAATAAAGCAGATATTCTATTAACAGATAAAAATAGAAATGATATTGATAAATGCCAACTTCCACGAAATGTTATAAAATGTTTTTCAAATGCATCAATACGAATACTATATTTATTTGAAATATTTTTTGGTCGTGTTGAATATAATAAATAACGATTAAGTTTTATTCCATAACTCAAACTATTTATTAATTGATTATCATTAATTAATATTATGATCATAAAATAAACATCACATCTATCAGCTCGAATAAATCCTAATGTAACACTAACACGTTCATTTTGATATTGACATAAATCACCATAATAACTTGGTGGACACATACATACGCGTTGATCTTATTTATGTTCAAATCTCATACGAAGAATTAATCCATGATTACGATACCATGATCTAATATAAGAATTTTTTTTTAAATGATCATCTTTTCGACTATGATTTTGTTCTGTTTTCATTATAATTAGTTGTTTTTATTTGAGAAGAATTTGATGATGTATGAATTGAAAAATGAATTATTCCATTTTTGTTTTCATTATTAATTGAATGACAAAAGAATATCTTCTATCGTCATGCGATTTATATTTGAATTTTGTTGACAATTAAATTGATGATTATTACAAATTTCCGATGATGATAAACATAAATCATTATATTGATAATGAAAACGTTTTGGATATTTATCAAGAGGATAAGTGCGTCGACAAAAATGAAGTTCGTCCATTCCTCCAAGACAATTATCTATTCCATCATTTACTCTTGTTTTTGGATGATAAACAAATAAATGAATAGCTATATATCGATATATATATGGATAACTAACTGCTTGACATGTTGTTTCATAAGAATATTTTTCATCTTTACCATTGAGACATGTCTAAAATCCATCATATCTTGTATATATATTATTATATGGTTAATAATCACAATGAGTTTCATCTGTATAATGTCGACCATTTAAATCATTATAACCAACTTCTATTACTCCATCACAAATTTTTTAAAATGAAATTTTCTTTTCAGAATAATTTTCATTAAAAGGACAATCATCAATTATATGTAAGAATGAACGACATTTATTATTATCATAATATTTTAATCGATATTTATTATTATTAGTTAAACAACTTAACTGAAAATCTTCATCATCTTTCATACAACAACCAATATTTTCATCAAATATACGATGTTTTGATACTGATTTCGATGAATTGTTACATTTATATACAGGGTGTCCCAAAAGTCCGGACAGAAAGTTAATTCAAATATCTCTCATACAACTCAAGTGATTTAATTGATTTTTTTATAATATGTTAGTGTGTTCTTTAAAGTTTTATTTCGTATATTTTCANTTGTAGGAAAGTACGAAACCTTTAAAGTTTCGCATCTAGTATAATAGTTTTATAGAAAACCCAGTACGAAACCTCGATGTTCAATACGAAACTTTAAAGGTTTCGTACTTTCCTACAAAACCTTTTTTTGGTGTACGGAACTTAAAAAGGTTTCGAAGAAAAAAGGATCTTCACTTGGGTACACGGTAAGATCCTTTAAAGGTTCCGGTTTTTTTATTCGTTTTTGAAACTTTCAACACATTTGCAAACTTTTTGCCATCTACCGAACCTTTTTTTGAGGTTCCAGAAAGTACCGTTCTTTTTTACAGTGTGTATCATTCATTATGAGGGCTTTATTATTTGCTTGTGGTGGAAAACTTATTTTTGTAAAATGTGGGTGTAATTTTCCTTTAGTATAACCTGGATGATTATGCGCAAGGGCGTACACTAATTTACGCTCATTGTGTACGCTCTTTTTTCTAAAAAATTCAATTTTTTCTTTGCGAATTTATTATGTCTAGTACGAGAAACATGACATATTATGTCATATGATTTACGAAGGTGTTCTGATAATTTTTTTTCCAGTTCTTGATATTGTTTATTAGCTTCTTCTATTTCAATTATTTTTGCTTGTCTCATTAAACTAGTCAAATCTAATTTTGTCTTTCGAAGTATATTTTTCCACTGTTCACGAAGTGATTTAAGGTGATTATTATCTTTTTTGAGTTCTTTTGCATGTAAATCTAGTTTATCGAAAATGTTGAGAGATGGTGGTGGTAGATTTTCTGTAAATCTTTTCTCAAGTTTATCTAATTGTAATTGCAGATTTAATTTTCTCATGAATTTTTCATGTAAATTATATATATGTTCTTGTTCTATTGATGTTCCTTTTTTCTCTATCTCGAGTATTGCCTTTTGTCTCATTTGGTCTAATAGAAGATTGTCTAATCTCTTCTTATCACTATTCTTTTTACTTTCCAATGGATTTTCAACTGTATTTTTTACGAATTCTACTATTTTTGCCCATATCTGCTTTGGAAATGCTGCATGTAATTTATTTTCACTCTCGTCTTCTAATGTTCTACATTTATTTTCAAGAAATTCTTGATGAATTCTTATTGTTTCAAATGTACATCTTTGTCTAGTTTTTTTGAATTGATATCGACATTCAATGGGCATAATTGCAAAATTGAACGAACTATGTTGTTCTATATGATTCTTTGGAATAGCTGACGATGATTTTTTCAATGGTTTGGGTGTCGAACTTTGCATTGGTGGTACTATCATTGATGGTTCATGTGTTATCAATTGATCTCTAACTGATGATTTATTCTGATTCTCAATTGGAAGTAATAAATAAAAAGAATGCTGTTGTTTATTTTTATTATTTTTTACTATTGGTGATGATTGTATTGATTCTCCAATTAATGGTTGATTTGGATCTTTTGGTGGTAATGTTCGTCTTGGTATAATTGGTGGTGGTGGTTGTCTTGGAGAAGGCCGTGTTGGTGGATCATCTCGTCGATGTCCTATCTTTCTTTTCTCACCTGGTGTAGGTGGTGGTAACCATTCATCGAAAATCGCTGCAAACTCAGTAAAATCTAATGGTGCTGGTGGACTTACGAGATCTGCCGGTGATGGTCTTGCAACTGGAAGACCATTATTGTTGTCTTCTATTATTATCTCCATAGGTTCTAAATGTTCAATTATTTTATTTTTCTTATTTGCTGCTGCTTCTATATAAATCTTCCATTTTTCAGCTTCACTTTTAAAATATTCTGTTTGAAAATATATATTACTCAAGAGAAAAATATCTTCTTTAGGGTGCGGGTGTGGGTGTGGGTGTGCCAAGCATACCATGATCTAGATTTCGACCTTGCTTAAGGGTCTTATTAGATATAGATATAGCAATTGAAGGTGACAATGTATTGTGAAGATTCGTTTTAGAAACCTTTTGCAATTTTATTGACGCTTTATTAATATAAGGAAAAAATATGAGGAGACGAAAATGAGGTAAATCAATTAGGTTTTAATAGTTAGAGAAGTTCGTGCTACAGTCTTGCCGGTAGTGGCGGCGCCAGGGGTGGGCCAGGGTGGGCTCAGCCCATCCTGATTTACATCGAGCCCACCCTGAGAGATTTTGAAAGCTATGTAAAAAGAACACTTTGTGTAGGTTAGGGTGGGCTAAACCCATGATGAGCCCACCCTGAACTGAAATCCTGGCGCCGCTACTACTTGCCGGTTTTCATTGGAAGCAGACGCCCTCCGTTTTCTGTTAGTTTACTGTGGGTAAGTTTGGGTCGCGTCGCACTGACGCTTTGATGAGGTTTGAATTATTTCGTGTGGCAACGATGAGTTTTGTGTCCATGATTGGTGTTCGTCCGAATGAACTTTGCCATAGCTGGGTGTGGGTGTGGGTGTGGGTGCATGTGGATGGATGTTGGTATGCGTGTCGGTGTGGGTGGAGGTATGGGCTTATCTGATCTCTATCCACACCCACGCCCACTCTTGCTTTAGAAATTATCATATAAAAGTATCATGTGATGATTTAGGTTAAGATAGTTCTCATCAAACTATAACAAAAAAAAAGATTTAAATTAAAGTTTAGTAGAAACATCGTTTTTGTCTCTTCAAAATATTTTTTTGCAATGAACTATGTAGTCTTAAGTTAAGAGAAAAACACTAAGCTAGATTTTCTGCAATCATTCCTAAGTGATCAACTATCGAATGAACATATTATCTTGAAAGACTTTTTAACGAATAAATATTTATTAAGAAAAGTATACTGATATATATATATATTATAGCAACACAGAAAAATGATCTTTTTTCTTCATTCAAAGTTCACGTGTAAATAATACATATTTCATAAAGAAATTTTTCATTGATGAAAACGATAAATATTCAATAGTGAAATAGGAAAAGAAAACTTTTTTTTAATGTTCAAAATGAGAAAGCAAGCATATGTATTTGTATTTGTTTAGTTAAGCAATTGAGAGACAAGACAATGATAAAATAAAGTAAATATGACAGAATAGAGAAGTAATTTAGTTTTATGACAATAATATAACTTTATAATAATAGATGATTATTATATTTGAATGTTGTTTGATGTTAAGAAAGTTTATTTCGAAATTTATTTGTTTTTATTAAATAAAATCGTTGTTGAATACATGATAGAATTTGTCTAAATTCTTTTTTATATGTTGCTGATGGTAAAACAAAAACAAAACATATAAATACAGATGGCATAAATGAAATAAAATAACCTGAAAGATATAACCAAAAATGTTCAGATGATTTATTACAATTCAATGTAAATGAAATAATTAAACGTGGTAATGATAATATAACAATAATCATAGGACTAATTAATAAATGTTTATGTTGTTTTAATTTATTTTTAAAATGATTTCTAAATCTATATTCATTTTTCATAAGATAACGTTGACGAGCTGTTCCAATAATAATAAATATAGCTGAAAATAAATTAATTAGAAATGGAAGAAAAAAATGAAAAAATATTATAAATGAAGTATAAGTATTTAATAATGATGAATATAAAACAACACACCATGTACGTTCTTCTTTTATATCATCAAATAAATGTAAATATATTATTTGAGGAATAATAAGAATTATATTTATTATAATAACAAAAATAATTATCCATTTAGCCATTTTTCTACTTTTTATTTTATCAAAATAAATTCCTTTAAAAAGAGAAAAAGCTCGTTCACATGCAATACAACCATTTAACCAATTATCAATATATAATAAAAGTTTAAGTAAAGGTTCAATTATCATACAATTTGAAAAAATTATTATTCGTTTACCAATAAAATCTCTATAAGAATAAATAAGAAACCAAAATTTCAATGAAAATAAAATAACAATAATTATTGAAGTTATTGATGATGATAGAAGATATATTCCACAACCTACTTCTTGACAAGTTTTTCTTTTAAAAATAAAAATTGAAATAATACCATTGATAATACCAACTAATAACATAATCATTGTAATAAAAGCACTTAATTTAACTGAAAATGATTGTTTAGATAAAATAATATTATGTTTTATTTCATAACCTAATATTTCATCTAATGTTAAACCTAAACCTTTAGCATAATATTGACATTGATTACCAAAAAAACAATCAGTACAAACACATATTATTGCAGATGGACAAGTTGGATGATCTTGTAAACATTGTCCATTATTTGCACAATAATGTTTTGATGAACATTGAAGATTTTTATTATAATTAAATTCAATACAATTAGCATGATGATCTTTTGTACATAAACAAAGATAATATTCATCAATAAAACAATTTAATTTATGATATATTTGACATGGAATATGATAATATTTAATTCGTTGAAATCGAGACATTTTCATTAATGTTGAATTAAATAATATATCTATTGAAATACATTCTCGAGAAGGATTAATTGATGTTGATATATCAATATTTGAAATTAATTGAATAACAGCAAGATAATATTTTCTATTAGATTTAATAATAACTATATTATATGGAATTGATATACGAAAAGTAACTAGACGTTGAAATAATGTTAATTTTTGTAACATTATTGTTAATATTGGTTCTGATTCATTTGATATTGTAAAAAAAAATGCTAAGACAAAATATGGAATATTTACATTTTCTAAATAAATATCAAGTTTAGCTTTACGATATTCACATTTTGATCCATAATAATTATCAGAACAAATACAATAATAATGATTATTGTATATAGTTATATCAGTTGGAATACATTGACCATTATTTAAACAAGCATTTTTCGGACATAGAGATTTGAGAAAACATCGACGACCAAACTTTGTCAAAGGACAAATACATATAGATTGATTATTTATGTATCCTATACATATAGAATCTGATGAACAACTTTGACAATTTATTTTAATATCACATTGAATACCTGACCATCCCGAAAAACATCGACAAAATATATATTCTTTATTTAAATATTTAATACATTCACCATTTATACATTTTTTAAAACAATTTGATATAATAGGAATTTGTCTATAAGATGGCATATATAACAATGCAGATATTCTATTAACAGGTAAAAAAAGAAAAGGTATTGATAAATGCCAACTTCCACGATATGTTAAGGAATATTTTTCAAATGTATCAATACGTATAGTATAATTATTTGAAATATTTTTTGGTCGTGTTGAATATAATAAATAACGATTAAGTTTAATTCCACAATTTTGACTTGCAATATATTCAAATTGATTATATGAATTAATATATTGATTTTGATCAATTAACATAATTATAATAACATAAACATCACGTCTATCAGCTCTAATCAATCCTAATGTAATACTAACACGTTCATTTTGATATTGACATAAATTACCATAATAACTTGGTGGACACATACATATACGTTGATTTAATTTATTTTGAAATCTTATACGAAGAATAAGTCCACGATTACAATACCATGGCCAAATATAAGATTTATTTTTTGAATAAATATTTTTTTGAATATTATCTTGTTTTTGTTTCCATTGAATTATTTCTTTATTTATATTTTTATCTAATTGAGGATAAATAGGTGATGTATTTATTGAAAAATGATTTATTCGATTTTTTTCATTATCAATTGAATGACAAATAATATCTTGAATAAAAGTACGATTTATATTTGAATTATATTGACATATAAATTTATGATTATTACAAAAATTTTCATCATCACCGAATGGACATGTTTTTATATTATTACAAAGTTCAAATGATGATAAACATAAACTATTATTTTGACAACGAAAACGTTTTGGATCTTTATTTGATGGATAAATATGTCGACATAATTTAAGTTCATCCATTCCTCCAAGACAATCATCAATTCCATCATTTACTTTATTCGAAGATAAACAAATTAATGTATAATTATATGGAGATATACATGGATAACTATTCGATTGACAAATTTTATCATAACAATTTTCTTCATCTTTTCCATTATGACATGTCCAAAAACTATCACATCTTGTATATATATTATTACATGGCCAATAATCACATTCCGATTCATCTGTAAAATTTTTACCATTTGAATCAATATAATAAAATTCTTCTAAACCATTACAAAACATTTGAAATGATATTTTCTTTTCAATTTCATTTTCATTAAATGGACAATCATCAATAGTATGTAATGATGAAAAACATTCATCATTATCAATACATTTTATTCGATGTTTATCATTAATTAAACAACTTAATTTAGGATTTTCATCATCTATCATACAACAATCAATATTTTCATCGAATATACGATGTTTTGATATAATTTTAGATGAATTATAACATTTATATAATAATGTTACATTTTTATATTTGTTTATATCATTTAAAAATGTATAAGAATTTAAACATGAACGAAAATAAGATTCAATTATTAAAATCATATCAATCCAAATATGTCCACTAATACTTGATATTAAATCTAATGTCGAACTATGTAAACAAGTTAAATTTTTATAATAATATGTTGAATTTATACAATCACAAAGTTTTTCATCATAACAAATATAATCAGGTATAATTAAAATATTTGAATTTAATTTTAATTTTAATTTTAATGAAATATTTTCATATAAAAAACGAATATGACTCATATATACTGGATTTATTGGAAATTGAAATATTGAATCACATTTTTTAATAAATTCATAAATTAAATTATTAATAAATAATGTTTCACATAATATTCCATGAATTTGTTTAATAAGTTGAGTAAGACATATCATAGCAATCGAACAATTAATTGATAAATTACCTTGAATTAATATTGATTCAATTAATAAAATATGACGTCCATTATGACATTTATCAAATGTTTGTACACATTGTCCATCTCCACATGAAAAATCAAACCAATTTGTTCGACATGAATGTTCTTCACAACGAAATGTTGGATCTTGAAAACAATTATTTGGATATAATACATCAGCAAATTCATCTGATCGATCAAGACAATCGGCATCACCAAAACCATTTTCCCAAAATTCTTCGGGAATACATAATCCATTATGACAACGATATTCATTATCTTCACATTGATTTAATTCCATATCAATACAATATGCTTCATCAAGACCTTCATCAATACAATCAATACGTCCATTACATACTTCACGCCAATCAAGACATAAAGATTTTTCACCACGATCACATTTTATATGAATATAACATGGTAATTCTATTAATATATTAGAATATTCAGAATAGGATTTTTTAATATTAAATTCATTTTCAACAATATCAATTATTGACATATCATCACTAAATTCAAATGAATATTGACATTTTAAACCAAACCATGGTTTTGTACAATTATAAAATAATTCATTAGATAAAGATAAATCTATTTCATCTAAATATAATTGATATTTTTCAACTAAATCAATAGGAGTTGACCATAAAAGTAGATCTTGTGTACTTATATTAAAAATACGTAATTCTTCAAAAGTTATATTTTGATCGGATCTATTAATAATATTTCGAAATAAACTTTCATTAGAATTTATCGGTCGAAAGCAATATGGAATCATCTCGTTGACTACATTTGATAATTCTTGATAAGCTAATTTTTTCTTACTTATATGATAATATAGACAATCAAATTGTAGAATATTATCATCAATCATTTCGTTAGTATCATGAAGAACTAATTGACAATTGTTTATTATCCATTGAAAATAAATTATTATGAGATAAACTATCTTCATCTTCAAATTATTTTAAATATTCTAATACAGAAATCTTTAAATGTTCTATAGATGAGTAAAACATTCAATGAAGAAAAAAGAAATTATTTAATCTCTTGTATAGATTATTGATAATTAAATGTTATCATTTATATTAACCAAGCAAAAAAAATTCACGTCCAAAAACGGATGCCATACCTCTTTTGAAGGTTAACATTCTTTGTGACATAATCAGTCAACATCAATTACTGTCATATTTAAATAGACTTTTTTTCTTCTCTATTCAGAAAAGAATCAATACGGATGATAAAAGGATAAATTTTCAATGATTTTATATAGTAGAATAGATGATTGGTTAACAAATTTTTTTCCTAAGATTATAATAACATTTTCCATAACGTGTCATATACAATCATATGAATAATCAAATATTGGACTCACTGCATATTAGTAAATTATCATCTATCTACGATTATCTATTTAAAGAATAGTTTGCAGACTTTTACCTTGTAATTGAGATAGATTTAATAAAAGTGGATGTGACTTTGTGCCTGAATGGTGTGAATGTAGGTCTTCTCTTCACACCATCACATCCCACACAACACATTAATATCCACATCCTCTTTTTCGTTCCAATGAATATATCTTCGATGTTTTATTATGAAAAACAGTCACACAATCAAATTCAATATCTGTTGAAAACATATCGAACTGTTTTGTAATCTTTATTAAGATTAAATTATAGGGATTCTCTATTTACAAGAAAGGATATGAAGAAAATGAAAACATACAACTTAAACGTAGAAATATAAGAAATACATAGAAAAGGGAAAGAACAATACTAATGAACGCATTTTCAATACGACTATTTCCTTTCAACATTTTTGTTCTAGCAAAACAAGATCTTAGGATCATATGGGAAAGGGTTACGACAGCTGTTAGCGACAGTTAATCGAAAGAAAACTCAAGGGTTCGAAACATCGCTTATGCTGTCAGTTTTCAACGGCCTTGGTGACAATTCGTACTTTATTTAAATCAGAATATTGTCCTTCATTAGGAGAACTTTTAGATGTTTTGCAAATATCAGTTCGCAATGAGCTTCAACGACAATTTACTAGTCTAGGTAAATTCAAGGTGCTTAAAAGAGTTTCCTATTGTTACCTTCTGATCTGACATGTAAATATCAAGTATAGGCTTTTTAATTTGAGAATAAAAGTCCTGTGCTACAGTCTTGCCTAGATCAATTGTTCGTTCCCAAAGAAACATTGTCAAATGTATTTTTTTGCAATCTCAGCCAATCAGGTTTTTGGATTCCAGGAATTCAGTGAATTAGGTTTTCGAAAGTTAGAATTTCAACCAATCAAGTTTTTCTATCGTCGGATTTTAGCTAATCAGGTTTTTCATTAGGAGGAGAGGGAGAGAGGGGAGAGGTTTTTTGAGAATATAACGATACCTTATAAAGGTTGACAGAAGTAAATCGGGGTCGCAGAATCTGGATCTGAAGTCGGTTTCTCAAATTTTTGAACTTGATGTTTTTTTGTCAGGGGAACAGATTTTTGAGAAAATAACGATGTTGTAGAAAAGTTGGCGAAACTGAATTGGGCTTTGAGTATCTAAATTTTTAATCGATTGCTACAAGTTTCAAGCTATAATTTTATAATTAGGTTAAGGCTTTTTAAGGAAACAATGACTTTTCGTTGGACTAAATATTATGTGGTATGAAATAAAATGAGTTTCTGGTTTGGTAATCATTGGTAGAGTAACGTGTTCAGATGTGTTAGCATGATTACAGGCTCGACAATCTTAGTAACGTGAAATATACATGCAATATTTTTTACGGTGTGGGTGCATGTGAGGGAGAACAAGACCAACACACCGAGGCCCATACTTATACTCACTCGCATCTCAAAAAGGACTCTAATACCAAAATTCAATGTTTAGTTCATTCAAGATCTTTGGCTTATTATTTCCATTATTTTGTAAATTTTTGTTTTTTAGCAGAAGTTGTGACTAATGGAATTTCTATAGTCACTATGACTGAAAGAAAGTAATATAAGCAAATAAATGAAAATGAGGTCACATTTTTTGTGATTAAAAGAGAATAGTCAGCTATTGCTTTGGTGCGTTCCAATAATGGAGCGACCAGTCATTCCTATTGCACGTTCGCTGTAGATTCACTTCACAAATGATCTTTAAAAAGATCATGTTCTTTTTGTGGAAATTACTACATCACGATTCTCTTAATGAGGAATTTCAATGAACCTCTGATTGTCTAGCTATACAATGAAATTAAAGACACAAGGAATGATTCACAATAAAGTTTAAACTTTGGAATTTTCAGTCACGAATTCTCGTGTCATAAATTCTTACGATTTTTGGAAGTTAACAACCTCTAGAATTAAACACAATTTAAGTAAAAGAGAATGATCTTATAATGGAATAGAATTAAGCATTGAAGCATCTAACTGAGATGCTGACAAATTTCCTAAAGGGGAACGCTTCAGGCAGTTACAATCCATCGAAAAAATATTTACCGTTTAGATCTAGCCGGTTTCAATAGGAACCAGAACTGGCAAAAAAACCAAACAAGGATTTTCAAATGAAATGTAACAACAGTTATGCTGCACATGTACAGTATCTAAATAGAAAATTTGACGGAGAACATCATGCAACGAATTCACATCATTCTATTCGAAGTAGATTTGAATGAAATCAAATGAATTTTTCTGTCGTTATGTGTCATTGTCTGTATGCTTTTACTTGTTTAAATTTCTTCGAGTATTTTGAAATTAAATGTCTAATCCGACGACTACTTTGAGTATGAACATCACTCAAGTGGCTTATTTCGAGTATTGATCTGATCAAATATGATTTATTTTAATCTGGAAGTTCAGCTAAACACTTATTTTTGTAGTGGACACCGGAAAATGATATTTTTGGTTGACGTTCTGGTAACTATATGAATTTTTATTAGGAGTTTTCAAAAAGTGTAGTGCATTTTCAGACTAATCTCGCGGATATGCTTTCTTGGTTTATTCTCTCAGCAAATTGAATATAATCTCTTTTCTCGGGGCATGTGGATAATGCTGCCTTAGTATAGTTCATTTAGATTTCCGTTGGATATTATTGTGTGAATCTCAGTTTGATTTTATGAATTTATTACAAAATAGTGTGGGTGTGAGTGTGAGCCTGTTAACAGTAAAGCAATACCCACACCCACAAACCAAAAATTTAATAAATCGATGGAATATGTCAGATATAGATTTTCTTCATTCATTTCAAATATACGAGGCGAATTTGAAGCTATCTATAACGAATTGATTATTGATTTTTCGATTAAATGCTATTCTTTTGAATACGATAGCAACCTATGTGTGCCTGTCTCTAAACACAAACACGACAAACTAATACGGCGTCGTAGAAGTAAGCGAGCATATGATAATCAATATGGTGGACCAGTACAGATTGATTATTACAGTGGTGTAGCCCTGGTGCCGTATTTCAAAAGCGATTGGAATTTGACTAAAAATAAAATAATGTAAAATGATACGATCACACTTTTGAAGCTTCAATAATAGAAGAGTCGTCACTCAGTATGTGCGGAATGATGCTACTGTATCGATGATGGGAACATAACTGTAGTCAGAGTCCAGTAAAAAAGTCTCACCGCTTCTTGTCAGAAAGGTTAACTATAGTAGTTATTTGTTTTAGTTGATCCCATAGAGAAATATTTTCTAAAAAATTGAAATTATAATACTAATGAATTAGATATAACTAGTTCACATTTCTACTTCCTGTCCATGTAATTGAAAGAAGATGGTCGAAGGAAAAACGAGCTAATCGTATCATGAGGAAAAGTATCTCAAAAAATAATAATTCTCTATAGCTTAATCTATTTTGAAGCGTATAGGATCTATGGGTGTGAGTGTGGGTATTGCTAAAGAGAAGATCAACACCCACACGCATAGTCGAAGTCGCACCCGACATCCACATCCACACTCATAACTTCATTTTATTTCATATAACTGTCCCTTCAGTTGAAGGAATAAATTACAATGACGAACAGTGATTCCATTTTGTTTTGGTAACATAACTTGATAAAATATATTAGGCGTATTTTGGTGAATATTCACTTAGTGGAAATATTCAAATGTATGTTTATCAATAGAAGTAGTTATTGACATCAGTAAAACTAGTTTGATATGTCAAAAAAAAATGCTTCTATGATCAGTTTTTTGAAAAAAAAAGAAACATGCAAAAACTTGAAGAAAAAAATGTATGCCGATCGGTACAGAAAAATTTGTGTCTACCGACCAGTAATAAATCTTATACTGAACAGGATTTTTATCGTTAGTGGTTGTAACTCTGCCCCACAGTTATTAGCAGTAATTATCAGAATATTGACTTTTTTGTGCTTGATCCGAACAAAAACTTTTTCTAATACATATATGTCTATATGAGCCAGTTTAAGCAAAATTCTCATCCACTTCTACAAAAGTTAATCAGGTCGTGATCGACAATATAGCTCATAGTTTTATATATATAAATTATTTATACAGGAAAGTGTTTGATAAGTTTCTACGAAAGCCATTCAAAAAGTATTCTTCCATTCTCAAGATATTTTTTTTTTCAGTGCTTTTATCACAAGACACATACTTTTATGTTTTTGTTTTTGCAGTCATATAGAAATCCGTGCATCAGACTCCGTAAATGAACTCCAACTCTAACTCTAATGATTCAAAATCGATGTAAATTAAATAAATTTTAAAAAATCTTATTTAATTCTTTTCTTATTTAGCATTTATTTTTCATAGTTATTCCATTCAGTAAAGCGACGACTATCAATCCAATAGGAAATAACATGAAATAGAAAATCAGGAAAAAAAAACAAAAGAAAAAATCTAAACTCGATTGACTTTCATGATTAAATATTGTGAGAA